AATTGATCTAGTACTTATAGATTTAGCCATTGTAGTATTATTTTTCTGCAGACATGCTTAATAGAATTTTTTTATTAGGTGGTCAATCCTGCCTACTATGGATTGGAGAATGCAGAACCTGAAACTCTCAGTTCATATTTGTCTAGGTAATGCCTTAAATTCTGGACCTTCTTGAACCTCATGTTAGAGATATCGTCTGTATCAGTCATGTCTCTTTTGGCAGCCTAGTGCAGAACACATTTGAGGATCTGGAAGACAGTGGATGCATCAAAATGAATGAAGATGAGGTGCAGCCAATGATGCTAGGTTCGATAGCATCTCAGTATTATCTCAGCTACATGACGGTATCTATGTTTGGGTCAAACATCGGTCCTAACACATCACTTGAAGTAAGCGTTCTTTCTCCCCCCCCTTAAAATTTCCTCTTTCTCTTATCTTTTTGGTGTTTTCGTAATTCTAAATGCTTCTTCATTACTAATTGAAATTGCCATAAAATATATTTTACCTACAAAATAGAATAACAGTAAAATATTTTATTTTTTGGCTGTAGGTGTTTTTGCACATTTTGTCTGCCGCCTCCGAATTCAATGAACTTCCTGTGCGACATAATGAGGTACTGTTTTTTTTTTTTTTTGTTTACCTAAATTTGCTCTTAATGAGAAGTCTCTCTTTTCAGATAAAAAGTGGCAAAATCAGGCGTAGACTGTATTATTCATGCCATTTAAATTTAATGTCTGTGGGGGATGCAACACAATTTTAAAATGCACTAAAACATAGATAATTGCTATATTAAAACGCCAACGAAACTTGTGGCCTAGTGCCCTTGCTCTTAGTCTAATCACTGTTACTTTTCCTTTTTTACATTTAGTTGAGTTTACATGCTGCTCTCAGAATCATATTCATTCATCAAAGCTGACAACATTACATCATCCTTATGCCATAGGAAAAGTACAATGAAGCATTATCTGAGAAAGTTAAATATCCAGTGGATAAAAATTGTTTAGACGATCCTCATGTCAAAGCAAATCTTCTATTCCAGGTCAGTTTTGTGTCTGTAAGAAGGAATTCAGCATGCTACAATTCTTTTATTTTCACTGATTATTTTGTTTGCATCTCTAATTATACAAAATTTTGGGGTTGCAGGCTCATTTTTCTCAATTGGAATTACCAATCAGTGACTATATTACCGACTTAAAATCAGTATTAGATCAGAGTATACGTATAATTCAGGCCATGATTGATATATGTGCAAACAGTGGTTGGCTTTCAAGCTCAATTACCTCCATGCATCTTCTGCAAATGGTCATGCAGGTATTATATAAACATATGTATATATATTTTTTGGGGGGAGGGGGGGCTCTGCAGATTTGTTACCCCAAAATCCATCCGATGATAAACGCTACTATGCTTTTGCTCTGCATAGACTTATTATACTGGATTATTGTGGAAATCTCCAGATTAATTAGCATTAGTATGATTTTATTTATTTCCCTTTTTCTCATCATTAATGTGTAAATAGTCAAAGATGGATTTTATTTTCTACTCCTTAGTTTCTTGCTGAGATTAATCATTACTGTGTAAATAGTCAAAGGTGGATTTTATTTTCTACTTAGTTTCTTGCTGAGATTAATGTACTGCTTGGTGGATATCTTGTAGCCAATATTGATCGATAAGAATTGGAACGTATTTTGATCTCCCTGCTCGCAATTATTTAGCTATATCATATTCTAACTACATGGATCATTATACTGTCCCCTGAAACATAAGGTCACATAACGTGCAAGTCATAAAAATCTGGAAGAACACTTTTTTATGAAGTTCCTGATAAAGTTATTATTCAGTTCGTAGTCTTTTGCCTATTCGACGAGGAAAATGTGAACGAGTACTTGAACTCAAATATGAAGGCAAAATAAAGTATTCTCTTGTTTAACGATATCTACTGATTTTTCTTATACTTCACTGTTATTCGATTGAGTAGATTGAGCACACCACTTTTTGATGATTGCCCATTGTAGCTTGATAAAGCAGAGGAAACACAACATATTCCAATATTCATTGGCTCTCTAGATCATTTCTCTCTCTCTCTCTTTTTTTTAAAAAATTAACTTAGCTATGGATGATGAAAAATTTATAACTTTGTTGATGATAATGTAGTAGCCTATGGATTAGACAAAAATAATGCTTGGATTACTACTTATCATGCACACGCGCGCACATGGTATTCAAGGACGGTTTCTGGCCGCTTGACAGTTTATTTCCCCATCTGGAGTATTCTTTGCTTTTTTATTCTCTGAAACATCGTGCTATCCTTTCAGGGTTTGTGGTATGATAAGGACTCTGCCTTGTGGATGTTGCCATGCATGAACGCTGATCTGATAAGTTCATTAAGCAGAAATGGAATTTCTACTGTACAGCAACTACTGGATATTCCCAAGGCCGCATTGCAGACCGTAACTGGAAATTTCCCGGCTTCGAAAATATATCAGGTAAAGTGCCACTAACTTTCCCTCCTTTTTCTTATTTGAAACTTTTTTCCTGTTTTCATACTAGTTCTAAATTGTGATATGTGCTGACGTAATCTAAATAGCAGAGTGATGGAAAGTGCAAAGCACTATTGTCTTTCGCATTTGGTAAATTATTAAAAACCACAAAGTTCATGCGTATTGGAGAATTTGATCATTACTTCTTCTTGCTTGAAGAAGCAATTCATTTGCAAAGAAAAACCTGTCAACTTGTATTTGTTAGTCAGAACCAGTCAGCTGTTGTGGGTTTCTGCGAGTTTTGTAGGTTGTCTTGGATCATGGGCAGGCTTATTTAGCGGTCAGCCTTGCCTATGAAGCATGGCCTCTTGAGGAAAAAAGCTTTGTACACGTCCATGTCCAACAATTATGACATGCACATTAGCTACATTGTGACACTTAAAAAAATTCCTGGCCGATTAATAAGTTTCTTTTACTTGCCAAAAGAACGTTACGTGTACGTATTTATTATGATCCAGCATCACTTGATAGAAGGGAAGTGGTTGATGGGTTACATGTGACTCCTGTCCTGCATATCGATGGTCTTTGTCAAGTTAGACTTGCATTTCACCTTTTTAAGTCGCCATCTGTTAGTTACTGTCTTTTTGCCGAACCCAGGATCTGCAGCACTTCCCTCGTGTCAAAATGAAAGTAAAGCTCCAGAGAAAGGACACTGACAGTGGAAGTTCCCGCGTTTTGAACATCAGACTGGAGAAGACGAATTCTAGACGACACTCTTCTAGAGCTTTCGTACCTCGATTCCCTAAGGTGAAGTTCTTAGATTGTCCGTTATTAGTTGTCTCAAACTGTAATTAATAATTCCTTTTTAATGCAGGTTAAAGATGAACAATGGTGGTTGGTTCTTGGTAACACCTCTACGTCTGAGCTTTATGCTCTGAAAAGGGTCTCTTTTTCCGATCACCTGGTCACCTCCATGGAGTTACCGCAAACTCCAGTTACTATTCAGGTAAAAATGGTTTTCCCCTCCCATATGTGGTCCTCAATCCCTTTCAGCGTGGCTTATTTTATTTTTATTTTTAAGCAATTTCAAATTAAACTATGATCATTTTAAGCTCATCCAACATCATTTGAACTTAGACCTAAGGGTCTTACGTAGGTCCAAAGGGAATTCTTAGTTATGGGTGGACTTTGCCTGGATCAATTTCGCAGTTTCTCAAATTTTTTTGCAATTTCTTTTTAGATTGAATACTGTTAATTTATAAACAGTGCAGCTTTCTGTAAATTTTATTATTAATATAAATTATATAGACAACGGGAGAAATTCCAGATTACTGTTCAACATTTGGGCATTTTCAGAGTACTTGTGATCTGTTTTCCGTGGTTGAACTTCTACTACTTCTCAAACGTGGACTGGGATAATATTTTTAAGAAGCAATCAATCCTGTTGATAATTTTTCTTTGGTAAATAGCCTGTTTATAGGTTTGATTGGACTTTAATATTGTTTACTAAACTTTGGGTATTCTGATGTATTTTGATCTAGAGTATCGCTGTATTTTTCTAACCTTTTTATTTACAGGGCATGAAACTGATTTTAGTCTCAGATTGTTACATTGATTTCGAACAAGAACACTCGATCGAAGAACTGCTAGGTGGTCAACAATAGGAGCAGGATTTAAGTAATGGAACCGTCGCCGGTGAATGTGATGGCATAGAAGATGTTCTCTTCAGAAGGAAATTATCTTTTGTGGTGTCTTTTTCTGCGTGTTATTTGTTTTTTTTTTTTTTTGGGGTGGTGGTCGTGGGGTTTCAAGGTATAGAGGTCAAGGTTTATAGAAATATTCTTTTTTTCCCCCTTATGTGAAATCAATGGATGGAGATTTCGACCAAAACAAATAATATAATCGGACGGAATGACAGAGGATTAGGGAATAAAATGAGAATCGTCACACACATTTCTCATCCACTAAACTGTTAATTTAGCTCACAGTTAGATGCCCTAAGTGGTTTACAGAAATTTTCAAATTTTCTTGTCCGTATAATTTTATGATGAGGACGACTATGAGGGAATTGTGCTCTGAAAAATGAGAGGATGATTCACCCGTGGGGAAAAAAAAAAAAAGATTCACCCGCAAAAAGGATGTATGAGCTAATTAGGATTTTGATTTTGATTTTCAATGTAAGATTTTAATTTACTATTTTTCTCATATTTTTGGCATTTTTTTCAAACCAATTTACTAACTTACAAGCTTGTATATAATACTATATTATATAATATCAGCTTTAATCCTTAATAAAATTAGTTAAGTTAGTTATTGGTGATAAATAGATGTGTTTTTTAAAAATACTCTGATTGTGTACTAATTGTAACCAATATTTTATAAAATTTTTAACATGTGTAATTTTTATAAGCATTATCTTAAAAGTCAAATTAGTTTTTATATTAAAAATCAGAAGTAGCAGTCTTTTAGAAAATTAGGCTAGATAATTTATTTAGTTTTTTGTTAACATATTCAAATTAATTAAGTAGTTTGTGTATTTAAGATCAGTAATAAGAAACTACAATTTTACTATGAAAATAATTGAAAAGTACATGTAGATCATTTGGTAGTACTAGTTGATGTAGATCTTTCAGTTGTCTCGTGTTCTCTTTTTCATAACCCGTCTGAACTGAATTCCCCGGCAAATTGGATACGCATGATCATTGTACTACTCAGTAAAAGCACTAGGAAAGGCGTATCCACAAGGGTCTGAAGAAGGCGATGTTCATGATTAGTAGGCTTGTGGTGAAAGTCTGGGCCTAGGGTGCACAGTCAGTGGGGCTGCCCGTTGGAGGGTCAGCCCATAGGCTTCATCCATATTAAGCTTCTCAGGGTGAAGCCCTTCTGGCAGGTCCCAATTGAAGGCATGGACCAGTGTCGCAGTTAGTAGTTGAACCATGCGAAGCCCCAGGCTCATACCAGCACAAATTCTACGTCCAGCACCAAATGGTATCACCTCAAAGTCATTGCCCCTAACATCCACGTCAGCTTTCTCGCCACCTGGCAGAAACCTTTCAGGCTTGAACTCCAATGGGTTAGACCATTCCTTGGGGTCACGACCAATGGCCCAGACGTTGACCAGTAAAGTAGCTCCTTTGGGGATATGATAGCCGAAGATCTCACAGCTTTTGTCTGCTATTCGTGGAAGAGAAAGAGGCGTTGATGGGTGAAGACGGAAGGTTTCCTTCACCACGGCCTGCAAGTATGGGAGGTTGGGCAAGTCTAGTTCAGTCACGAGTCGATCTCGACCCACCACAGCATCCAGCTCTTGTTGGACTTGGGCCAGCATTCTCGGATATCGAATTAGTTCAGCTATGGCCCACTCTGTTGTACTTGATGACGTGTCGGTTCCCGCAGTAAACAAGTTCTGCAAGAATGGACCCATGTCATTGACTCATGCTTCCCAAAAATAAATGTTTCGTTCTCTTCCTCGGGAAATTCTAGTTGCAAAGAGGAACACGTTGATCTCTTACAATCCATGTTTAATTTGAATGATTTATATTTTAATTTTAAATAAAATTTATTAAACTTAAATATGATAGTATAATAAGAAAATCAAGTTATTATCCAATCATATATAGTCACGTGCTTTATATTTTTCTTCATGTAAATTTATAATTAAATAATATTAAATATAAGAAATTTGATAAAAGCATTATCCATAAAATAATTAGTGAGTAACGAAGACGAGTAGGTACCAAAAGAAGAGCCTTGATCTCGGTGTCAGTGAGTCTGGTTCCTTCATCATCCTGAACGTCTTTGAGGGACAACAGGGTACTCAACATGTCCTTGTGCTTCTCGCTCTTAGAAACCTTGTGCTCGTCAATGATGCTCGTAAGGAAGTCATCGAATCTTTTGTGCAGTTTTTTCATCTTAGCTTGCACTCCTTGCAGGTCAAGAACTCCAAGGCTGGAATAAAATCGCCGATGTTGAAAACTCCGGCCAATACCATCACTTCCACCACCATACTCTTAAACTCATCCGCCCTGGGATCGCACCCAGCGCTGCCGTCGTTGAACACGCGCCGCCCTATCATCACTCTGCTCAATGCATTTGTCGTGCATACGTTAAGCAATTGAGCCAAGTTCACCGCGTTTGAGTCGGCACTGGCTAGATTGCGCGTCAATCTTGCTATCTCTTCCTGCATTTACGTATATGCATTTATTAATTTAGGTAGTAAAACGGATGCCAACAAAATTAGGTATTAAAATTGTTATTTAGACTATGACGCGTGGCAATGGACCCCATATTATATTTAGATTATGGAATATAATAAAAAGATCTCATAAACTCTTCTCGTTACCTAGAAACAAGGTCACATTGATTTTTGTCTACTTTGGCGATGAACTAATGGTATTAAAAAGATACCTTATTAATTTAAAAAAAAGATCTCAAATTATTACACATGATACAAAAATTATAACAACATTATTATATAAGAACTAGTTTAACTTTTAATTTAATTATAAATATAAGATCTCAATCCATTTTATTTCTAATATTTATCTTTTTTTTTTAAATAATCTTTATAGTAGTTACATATTTTAAGAAGATATTATCAATTTGTAATTCAAATACACATGATTAATGAAGGTATTTTTAGGATAGACAATATCTATTTACTACCAATAATTAATTTAACTAACTTTTTTAATCTTTTTAAATTAATTAATTGGGTTTTATATTAAGGATCGAATATAGTATATGCTGCAGCCCATTTTTATGTTTCTTTTTTTCTTTTTAAATTTAATGTCCTTCTTAAATTAAAGCCGGCCTTTGGCTCCCTCCACAGTACAGACCTTTGAGACGTTCAGATTCAAAGGTGATTAGGTATAAAGTTGTAGTTTATGATTCTGTATATTATCATCTAAAGATGGAAAAAGAATGACTGACTAGTTAACGACGAACGCGCAATGAAAAATCACAAATAACTACCAACAATAAATCACAAAGCACCAAACAAAAGAAGACGCAGAAATGAGATCGACCGATCCCTAATTATCAAGCACGAAAATAATTTACGTAAATCGATCACTCCATATCAAGAACGAAACAAATGTAGGCGTTTCAGAAAGAAAGAGAGTTAATTAACCTGTCTGAGATGTCTGAAATCATCCAAGGCCTTGCCGGAGAAAAGATGAACGGAGCTAATTTTCCGGAGCATTCGCCACCGTGGGCCGTAGGGAGCAAACACAAGATCTTGATAATTATAAGCGATGTATTTGGCTCCAGCGTTGGGTGGCCGGCTGGAGAAGTTGGCGTCATGAACCTTCAAGAATTGCGCCGCGACAGAGGCTGACGCTGCCACGACGACGTTCACGAAACCTAGCCGGAGATGCATTAAAGGACCATAGGTCCGAGCTAGGTCCGCCAGAGCGTGATGCGGCACGGGACCTAGGTGAGGCAAGTTTCCGATGATCGGCCAGGGCCATGGACCCGGCGGCAGAGGATGCGAAGGGCGAGTGACGAGCTTCAAAAGCCTGTAAATCAAGATGGCCACCGTTAAAGTGGCCAATCCAAGAAGCAAAGGAGACATACTGGCGTCGCTGGGTTTCGACTCCGCTTCTCTCTACTTCAAGCCGTGAGGAACAGAAATTATTAATTGGAATAGAAACAAAAGGGTCTCATTAATTGGTGGGTATTGAAGAGCTCCATCTCAGTGTTATATATACAGGGATCTGAAGCAAGCTGCCTCTGTGGGTCCGGATCTTCAGACACACACACACACAAGTTTTTATTCTAAAAAAATAATCTTTCTCTCAAATTTTTATAATAATTAGTTATTGAAATTGGTGAAGCATACCTACTTTTGATTTAATTTTAGTTTTGTTGCTTCCAAACGAAATTAGGATGACTATCATAAAATTAATGTAATTTTTTGTTTAGTGTGGATTTGTATTTATTTTAAATGAAAATTTAAAATAACAGTGCTGGTCGGGTGTTTGAAAACACTTGAAAAAAAGAAATTTGATGTTTCACAAGATTTTTTTTTTTTTTTTACATATTTAACTCAACCAAACAGTCATTAAACAGTAAACAATTCTTTTTCACGGCTATTGTCGGGCGTGCTCACGATACGCATGAGCGGTGGTTGAAGCGTGGTTGCTACCACCATTTTGTGATTTGTTAGGTTGATTATTTTCGCAAGTTCAATTCCATAAGTTGAATGTTTGGTTAGTTACTTTCCCAATAAAAATGGTTTGTTTCGCTATTTTTTAACAACACGTGGACATGTTAGCTCCAAAATTTGATTTGATGTCTAACGTTTGATATATTAGAAAATATTATTACTATTTAGATTAAAAATACTATCTTAAATTCAAACTAGTTCATACGTTAAGAAACATAATATGTAATGAATAAGTAAAATTTAAACCGTCAAAATTTAATTTAAATAGACTAAAGTTGTAGTAAAAAACATTTTTAAACATATTTTTTCATGATAATTTTAAATTGTTCAGGTAATTTATTTTAAAAAATTAGATTTATTTATTTCTTATTATTTATAATTATAGTAATAATTTTGTAATATATTAATCTTATCAGTCACAAGGGAAAATTTTTTAGTGCCTGTTTGATTAAGTGGTGAGAACTCAAATAAACTCATTTAAATTTAAATAAGTGATTATGGAATATGTTTATCCTATTTGGGTAATTTGATTTCATTCTTCCGTTGTACTTTTAAAATATGTACTAAGAAGTAGTTTATAAGTTTAAAAAACCTCAATCAATTTTTATCAACTGAATTTTTTCTGATTTACCTTCCCGCACTCTTCATAAAATCTCTCCCCAAATAATTTTATTTAATAATATTTATTAAATTCATTTTTGGTAATTATGCACCCATAAAATGGAAATAAAATATAATCATAATTCTTAAAGTCACTTATAAAAAAAATATTTAAATAAAAATCACGATTAACCAATATTATTTATAACCAATATTGCTTATAAAATTTAGGATTATCTAAAATTACAGTTATTCACAGTTGATCTAAACGAGCACTTAGATTTTGGGGGGGAGATAGGAGGAGTGGAGGAGGAAAGCAAGAGTCCTGAAAGAAAAAAAAAAAGAACACCCCAAAGTATTAAGTTTTAGTATTTTTTTCACCCAAAAAAAAAAAGGTTTTGTGCTGTTTACGGCCCTACTAAAACCCCGCCTTAATGACTATTTAATAGCTATCGTTATTATTCTAAATATAAGAATTAGTTGAATAATTTAAGTAGATTAAAAAAATTAAATTAGTTATTCGTAATAAATATGTATTGTTTTTTCTAAAATATCTTTATTAATCAAGTATATTCGCTAAAACTATCATTGTTAAAAAAACTGTCTTAAGAAAAAAAAAGTATAAATATGATAAACAAAATAAATTAAGATATTATATTTAAAATTAAAATAAAAATCAAATACTCCTCCGGTCCTTAATACAGGACCTATTTAACTAATTTGATTAGATTAAGAAAGTTACGTAAGTTAGTTAATTATAAGAAATGTGACACGTTTTTTCTAAAACACCATAATCATCTTTCTTAATATCTCATCTCCCTCTTCTACTTAATTATAATCGAGAGAGTATCCATAAGGATAATTTAGAGAAAATTGATAAATATGAAAAAAAAAGTCTTATATTTAGGATAAAAAATAATTTAATAATTGGGTTCTTATATTAAGAACATGAAGAATATGTTATACTACGGATCGGAACTCTGGTAAAAAAAAAAATTACGGATCGGAACTACTAAAATTACATGGCTATTTTAATCATAATCCCTACCAACGGTGTAAGGCGTGGTAGTTGTACTTGTAATTGAGGAAGCTAGGGCCAGAAGCTCTCCACCTACTACCACGTTGCTTCGTTGGACAGGCTACTAGTGAGTGAATGTTAAAGAATTAAAATATATAAAAATTGAGATTAAAAAAAATACATGGACTCAAGTATTAAATAATGTTGCTGTATTTAATCCTACCCTTAATATAAAAATTAGATAACTAATTTAAAAAGATTAAAAAAATATTAGTTTAGTTATTTGTAACAAATATGTGTTAACTTTTTTAAATTATTTTTATTTAATTATGTACATTGAAACTAAATTTGGGTACAAATACTCTCTCCAGTCCTATATATAAGCTTTATTTTTAGAGAGAGATTTTATCCAAAATATAACTTTCACTTTTTTGTTTGTCTGAGCATTTATTACTTATTTTTTCCTATTCTACCCTTAGTTGACTGTATTTAGTACCTATTTTCTCTCATTAAATACCCTTATATATTCTCTTTTATCACTTTTTCATTTATTGCCTCTCTCATTTACTCTCTCAATAAATAAAGAAAAATTTGAAAAAAATTATATTTCTGACGTATTTATTATTTTTAACTATTTTTAATTTTTAATTTATTAAACATGATTCGATTATTTGAAACTTATATATAGAACCTGAAGAAGTACCCTACAATTAATAGGGATTTTTTAGAACACATTATAAAATTAGAAAATAAAATATATTGATATCTTATATTTAGAATTTTCTAACATACTCTTATATTTAAGATCACATTTAACAAAAATATACAAATCGTTTTTTCAACTGGTTATTTCAAATGCATGCAGGAGGTCGTTTAATAAATTCGATAGTAAAAAAAGATTATCTGTGTAAATTTAAAACTTGGTTGTTTATATTATAAGATAAATAACTCAATTTTCAATAAAATTTTGCACGATTAACCATTAAGAGGGTAAAAGGGAAAGGAAAGGAACATTGTTATTATTACTTTCATTTTTTTTTCCGTCAAATTGAAAATAATCGTATTTAATACATTATTAAGTACTAAATATAAGTATTTTTCTCAATAAAAACTTGAATCTTTATTTGCCCTGTTGTAATGAAATAATCCCTTGCGAGCATGAATTTTTTTCCTTCCCTTCTTTTAACAGTGGGCCCCAATATGAAATTAGCAAGTTAAATTACAAGGAACCATTTCTGTGCATAGGATTACCGGTAAATGAGGTTGGCAATTAATGTGCACACCTTTGGTCCCAGTCAATAATTGACTTGAGGCCATCCCTCTCATTCATGTCGTGTACTCCTTCAAATTTATCTTAACCATCAGTTTGGTTCTGGTTAAAAAAAAAACAATTTGATTCGTAAAATTTAATTTTTATTACTATCTTCGGTTCTAGGTATAAAGGCTAGAAAAAAATTTATCTTATTTTAAATATAAGATTTCAATATGATTTATCTATTAAATTGACAATTTTTCCCTAAACATACTTATAAATTGGACATAATAAAGGATTTTATCAAGAATAGTTACAAATGCACATAATAATAAAAGAGATATTCTTAGACATATTTAACACCTGTTAAGAATAACTAAAATAATTAATTTTTGTAATATTTACAAATTAATTATATAATTCTTATATTAAAAATCCAATGGAGGAATTAAGTTCCTAAAACTCCATAATCAGACACAGTTGGTCCTTATAATTATCAATAAAGATTAAATTTCAGAGACAAGAGAACCAAAAGTTTTATTATTTTTGAAAATAAAATAATAAAGGCCGTCACAGGGGCATCTAGATTTCACGTGTGAGGACAATTGGTGGTTGGGCACGGGCGTGTGATTACATCAACGGTGGAAAATATAGCTGGTTGTTGAATGTTGAAAGGAGGGTGTAAATGGAGAGGCAGGAGAGCAGAACGAGTGAATGAATCTTAGCCGTTGTTTAGTTGGTGTGACTGAACAGTCTAATTGGACCCAATTTTTTGGGAAGTCAATAACTTCCATGAACTTTGGCCCAAAAAAACCCTTCCATGAACATGATGGAAGTTAGCCTCCCATTGCTCTCAATGGAAAATGTGTATTTTTTTTTTTTGGGTTTGATCCTTGGGAGATATGTATAAAAAAAAAATTATCGGGAGAAGTCCCAGCTACGATGCCTAACAGTATCTAAAAATTTAGTTTTTTTACAGTTCAGGTGGAAAAATACTCTGGACAACTAAAAAAAATACGTATTTCACTTGACTTTTTATGCTATTGTGATGTTGTTAGGAAAAATCATTCCGTAAGTACCTATAATTTTCCTTAATTTTTAATTCAGTATCTATATTTTTTTTTCTCTTAATTAAATGCTACTTTAATTTTGCTTTGAACATATCTGAGGGACTGAGGCTGGCATCGGAGTGCTTAGATTTTGGGAATAAACAACAGAATGACGACGGAAATTGAAAAGGGGAAAAACTCCGATCTTAGCAAGTCACAGAGCCACGGCCCCAGCTTCTCCATCAGGCATGGGTGTGAAGAGAAGGAAAGAAAGAAACAACAGAGCAGCCCAATGAGACCCGTGCCACTTGACCCAAACCCAAAAAAAAACATTGGGCTGGTGTCAAAAGATCCCCCCACAAAAAAAAGGGGACACAATTTGGTAATTTAAGGGAAAAGGGAGGAAATGGCCTCCAAGCCCCTCTCAAACAGTGTCAAGCTACGTAATTTCCATGAAATTACTGTTTGGGGAGACTTATATATGGCGCCAACTATCTTGCCAAATTATTACTGTGTCCTTCATTTGAATGGCAGGTACGGGAGGGCGAGTAGCTACTTTAATTATGGTTAATAATGGGCAAGGAGTAT